ATTGTTTAGCCTTTTTAATTATACAAGTATTTATTTAAGAGATATTTTATTTAATAATTTCTTTTTCATTCATCATATTTTCAAACCTTTGATCCGAATAATCAGATTCTTGTATTTACTTTGGTTTTTATTATTGTTTATGAAATTTCAATTTACAAACAAAAGTTAGTCTTATTGTGTGACTGTCGCCGATTCCTGTCTACAAAGTTTTTGTCTCAATATTTAAATGTCATTTATTTTATTAATAGATTTTCATTTTTTAAATATCTTGCAAAGTTTCAACGAATACAGTATATGCTAGATATTAAATAATACAATAATACGGATATATCTGTTACCTGGAAAATGATAATATTCTTATATAATATTAATGATACCGGGATCTTAAAAAATATATTGAAAATACTTTTATCAGTTATTTTTGTGTGATATTATCAATTTCACAAAATATAAGAAAAATTATGTCGATTAATATACAGTATAATTGATAATTCATTAGTAATTATTGCCAGTTCAAATTAAGTCACATTTGAGGCAAAATCCATTTTATCCTATGATTAGTCACATTACTTAAGATTTATTGATATTTTATAAGTACTTTATCGACGATTTGTAGNATTACTTAAGATTTATTGATATTTTATAAGTACTTTATCGACGATTTGTAGATAAGAAGCTGAAAAACAAGTCTTATTTCTTTGCTTTTCTTTCATTAAGACTTCTGTCCGTAAAAATACTTTTTTGATAAACTTTTACAGGATGACGAAATTATTATAAAAATTATTCAATCAAACTATTGTATTAATTGCTTAATATTAAATCATTTAATCAATAAAATAATATTTGTTTAATTTGTTTATTATGCAGTTTTCCCATTTTAGATTTTAGTTTCTATAATATTTAAAAATTTGTATACAGTATATATTTGATTGATATTTTTAAATAAATAGATTATTAAAATCTATTTATAAAACTAATTATAAAAAGCTGATACACATGAAATATAATAGCTAAATATGACTATAATAATTATAATTTATAAATGTTTATGTATTATATTTTGGGATAAAACACTTCAAAAATTTTCCACACAAACAAATATTTATGTTTTTGTTTATATTATATAAGATTTGACAAATCAATTGGGACTTAATTTGAAAATAAACAGATTAATCTAGTCAGTTAAACAAATCGTTTTGTAAATTTCCGATTTTCCACACAAACAAATATTTATGTTTTTGTTTATATTATATAAGATTTGACAAATCAATTGGGACTTAATTTGAAAATAAACAGATTAATCTAGTCAGTTAAACAAATCGTTTTGTAAATTTCCGACTAAACTGTAAGACATTAACTCTTAATTGAACTCAAATCCCAAATAACATTAACTCAATCTAAATTTATTTTGTGATATAAACGGAATTGTGATAAACATTGTGTGGGAATATTATGTAAATTTCCGACTAAACTGTAAGACATTAACTCTTAATTGAACTCAAATCCCAAATAACATTAACTCAATCTAAATTTATTTTGTGATATAAACGGAATTGTGATAAACATTGTGTGGGAATATTATTGAAAACATACGAAATATACTAAAAAATATAATTTATTAAACAAAGTATTATTAGAAGTGTTAAAGAGGTTGACGATTTGCTTTTACATATAATTTTTGAAATAAACTTTTGGCTTCATTTCAGACAAATATAATATATTACAAAAGTAATTGATTTAAATGAAATCAAAATTTTCATGTATTTAGAGAATGAGTTCATTATCTGTTGACTATATATTATTTTCTTGTGAATCATAATAAGATGTTTTTTGTGATGATTTCAATAAGTGATTGCAATGAGAGATATTTTTACCGCTTATTGTCAACACATTTATTGACAATAGTTTCATGGACTCGGCAATCAAATATTGTTCAATGTACAGAATAAATGAATACTAATTGATATGTACTTCAAAAACAAATTCTGCATTCAAAGTTGACAGATTTTGTGTTTATACTTTAATTCTGACAATTGTTATGATAAGTATAGTGTTTAATTTATTTAAATCTTTACTCTATCAGTGATGCACTACACTATACCCCTGACCCACAACTATACTATTAATTTCCAATCATTTATTTTCTTGTTTTTTACGATCAATTCATAGACAAAAATTCATTCGTAAAATTTTATCTACAATTTAACGAGTTTATTGAAATCAATGAAAATTTCATATAAATAGAAAATAATTGGTTGAAAACTCTTGTGATTTACAAATTGAGGGCACTTTCTATTGACTTTTGATTGACTTTGTTTGACCCAAATTTACTGATCACTCAAATATATCACACGAATGTCACAATTGATCCCAAAGTTTTCATTTCTTATCGCCAATTAATATACAATAATGTATTAATAAATTACAAGTGAAAAATTGTTACCATTAATATCAAAATTCCGTTTAGCATTCAATAGTCAAAACAAATAAATAAAATAATTGTCACAAAATTTTCTTATCAAAAGATATATGTTTTAATCTTTTAGTAAATTCATGTCCTTCTGAGCACTCATTGATTTATTTGAATGAGTTCTACAGTTAAATAAGTTATCGATTTCTTATTCAATGGTTAGCTTTATATAAAGTTATTTAAGATTTATATACTCAGTATATCTCGTAATTCAAGGAATTATTGAGTAAAACCAATAAAAATACAGTAATCATACACTTCACTGAAGACAATGTATGAGTATATTTTACAGAAACAATTTATAAGAAGTTTGAGAAGTATGAGATGTATTTGATTTAATTGAAACTTAGGATTAATCACAAGACATTGGAGATAATAAATGTATACTTATATTAACTATTAAGTAGAGTCAGAATTTCATGGATTTATTGGCGACAAAACACAGACTGACTTCAGTCACAGATGTGTCGAAAGGGAGTCCTCCAGAAGACGGACTTTTTCCAAACGTTAAATACTTTCCTTTGATTTTGATTTGATGTCCGAAAAAAGAATTTAATGAAAAATAAAATGAAATTTAATAAAAAATAATTATTACATTTTGTAAATTATTTGAAATATTTACCAGAATATAGGGTCACAAGTAATTAAATTTAGTTTTTATTTTAGGATAAAAGAAAATATAATTTATATCATGATTTAATGAAAAGAATAACTTAATTACAAATTACACTATATTTCAAACATCGGATGAATATAAAAATATAATAATAATAAAAATAAAACTAAAATAAAAACATATGAAAACAAAATGCAATATAATATTTGTTACTTTAATTAATGAGACGAGAATAATGTGCTGTTAATTGCAATCACATTCTCGTATAGATTTGAGTTGAGATGAAATTGTTTTGATAAACATCTCAAAACTTCGAGATAACACTTAATAATAACTGTTTTGTTCAGAAAATATTAATATAAATATCATAATTAGAGATTATTATAATTGTTAAAATTCATAACACTATGATTGAGTCAAGTATTTGTTTTGAAAGGAATGTTATGATGAGGACATGGAGTCAATTGTATTGTGGTTATAGTAAAATAAAATTTTGGTATTTGTTTATGATGAATTTTGTCTTTAAATTTGATACACAAATTAAGTTTAGTGACAGAAATGATAGGTATTTTTCAGATCTCAATTAGATTTGTGTGAATTTTATGATAAATTTCATACAATATTGATATAATAATGAAGGGCTTGAGGGCATCAACTCAATGGTCATAATGTTTGCAATGTTTGTATTCATAGCACGTCTTCATCGCTTCGCTTACGGCCAGCGATGGGTCCGTAAACAGCAGTCGAGTTATTAGCGGATCCATTGGTGGATAGTTTGTGAGTCTTTGCCGAGTTGTTGCTGACATACGTGGTTGTGGTCGAAAAGCTGATACACGAGCCCCTGTCCCTCTCACCACGGGTTCGGTACAGTTTCACATTCTCGCCATATCTTAGGGACCGAAACGCGAAAGTATTTCTCTGTCCGACGGGGTATTCGCCGCCCCTTAGGGTTCGCCGCAGTTTGAAGCGCTCAAAGTGGTGTCGCACAGAATTTCTCACCTAAATTCATCAAGCACAGAAATTCATTGATATACAGAATATTCTGGCTAAATATAATAAACAAAACAATTCAAATACCTCTCCATTACAGAAGCAATAAAGCACTGCAACAGTGAATCCCTGTCCACACAGAATAGAAGTGAAAATATTTTGATTATATACGAGAAAAATGTTTTCAATTGATTACTCACTTGAGTGGAGACAAGAATCGCTTGAAGATATTGAAAGATAAGTTTAGCGGTTCGATGGGTCGGTGTGACCAACACTAACATATAGGCCACACCTAACAGCGGGATCAATACGAGCAAAGCTTTTGCCGCTTTCCTGTTTACAATCAAATCATATATTTTGATCCCAAGAATCTGAACAAGTTTTTTATTTTCCGTGTTTTCTATTGTGTTTTTATTGTTTAATTTTGTTTGTGAAGCCATAAGTAAATACTAACCGATATTGTTTGGACTCAGCGGTGGTGGCGGCTCTCAGTTTGGTGATCAATACCCACATAATCTTTCCCAAGAAAAATATATTTACCTATATTTTTGAACATCAATTTACAGACATTTATATTTTTGCGATCATTTTAAGGAAAATGAAATAAAAAAGTCTTTTAATACCAGGAGAACAAAAATGACCGGACATATGAAGATATAGTCGAAAAAATCCTTGAGTTGCCAGGGGCACCTGCCATCACACACTAATATTAGACATGCCACGACACACACATACAATTTTTGTCTATTCAGACCATTAATATTGCATTTTGTCAACACTTGTGCTATACTTCACATAATCTATCTCTCATTTTCTGTCTCACAGAATAACTTAACTAAAAACCTCATATAAATGACTAGTTTTTCTGACATCCAAAGTAATGATTATTTGATTTATATCCATAATTCATACCCTGATGGCCCGTACGGACGACCGTCCAAACTTCCACTAAAGTATGCCTTAATCGGCGCCCAAATCATGACGACCAGCGCTGGCAGACCTGTGTTCAGTAATTTCATTAATCATTGTATCAAATGTTCAATAAGCTTTAAAATGTCAAAGATTAAAAGATTTTCCAAATGTTTAACTGAAATTTAATTTCCACAAAAACCTGCATTTAAATGGAAATGAGATTCCTATAGATAATGATTAAATCGATGATTAGTGTGTTTTGTTGTATGTGTTGTGTATAGAAATTGAATGAATGTATGGTTTACCCCAACCAATGAAGGTATAGATATGGACTTTGACCAGTTCTATAGAAAATGTTTTGACGACCAAAATGTATAGATAGAGTCCTTCGACAAACATCCAGAAGAAATTGGTTCCCATTAAGTATGTGAGGAGAATAACGAGCAGACATGACGCCTATCACACGGAATAAGATTGATATCTGGATTAATATATTGTGTTTGTCAGCAAATCATCTCTAAATTTATACATTATTTGATAGGTTTGAGGAGGGATTTGAATGAAGTCTGTCAGTTGTGATCCAACAAATGGCAATGAGCCTAATGTTTGTACAATCAATTCATTCACTTAATTGTTATTCTTGAGACATGTTTTTAAGACAAACATACATATATGTGATCATCAGGTTTGTGTGAATAGTATTACGAACACAACGTAAATCTCTATATTAAAGAAAATTACGATTACTGTAGAAATCAAGTTAAATATATATAAACGGATTCTTGAATTGCAAATTCAATTTAATTAATGAGTGTTTACTTAAAATATAAAAATATCCACAACGCTATAGTCAGTGCGATTAGAGACAGACCGTATCCGATGTAGTATATGGTAGCCGTTTCTCTCACATCCCATAGAGTCTGTCAAATATTAGTAGTTTTGCTTATAATTTAGTTTTACAGTAATTCACACATCAATACAAACCGATGGTATTTCATACTCGGAAGTTAAAGGACTGCACCGATTATAGTCAGCCTTCTCAGCCCACGATCCGTTTAAGTGACACAAACGCGAGGCATTCTCTGAGATAATTAAATGAAATTTATTAATATTTTTTTAATTACAACTATAGGTATAACTATAACTGACGGGTTATGTCATAGAAAACTCCATTGAATTCAGAAAAACACGGAATGACCGATAATTGTCCGGCTGATGTGGTCGACCAACACGACACCCCATCCCATGTCGTGTTACAGAAGTCGCTTTTATCATTTACTATCTGTATCGATATGTCAGATGTTTCTACGCAAACATTTTTAAATAATTAGATTTAATTAAAATCAGAGCAATAACATTTTAAAATATAAGTTAGTATTACTTAATCATTACAGTGTACAGTGTTACACTAGTTAAAAATTTATGACCGTATATTAGAAAACTACAATTTTGTCATTAAGTTTAATTAAAATTTTATTTGTTTTTTGGGATAAAATTCCAATAGAGAGTATAATTAGGATTTATATGAGTTGTGCCACAAGTGGTGGTCCTTTGAGTGAATAACACTCTGATAAATGAGACAAAAGTATAAATAATAGTCTCATAAATAATAAATCACTTCAAATGCAAATATTATTCATTTGAATGAAATATTAGATTCAATTGTATTTATATTATTGTTTGCGAAAATTTATAACTCAAAGACTTGAGATTTGAATTTCAATTTCAGTAATTGAAATCTCCATAGATATAAATAATTTTTTTTAATAAAATATAATCTCTTTAGTGACAAAACCAATACAATGAGTGGATATAGACTTAACTTAGCTAGAAAATACAATCCAGACTTTCAAAGATTGTTTTCTTATTCAATTAAATTTATTCAATTCTATTTTAAAACTTATTTGAAAATCAATAATTTTAATGTATTGTTTAAATATTTTGTAATGTTCAGAATAATAACAATATTCAATTAAATAAGCTTGATATGAGTACCAAAAACACTTCACCACCAGTAAATAAATAATTGTTAATTTAAAATTATAATTTCCGTAATTATGTAAGTTATAGAATTGATTAAAGTAATTTATTTTTTAATTAGTTATGACATTATGAAGCAAGTTATATGAGAGGTTATTAAGTTATAATGAGAAGGGTTATGGATATGTGCTGACAATTTTGAATATATAATTACATGTCGATAATTAGATACCGAAGTAACACAAAATTGGATATAAATAGAAATAATGAGAATAACTTGAAAATTGCAAACTCATTACACAATGATTAACGCCATTCGGCACTAATCCTGTTAACAGGTTAGGCATTCATTTGAATACTGGTTTGCTTTCATCTTTCCGGTTAACAAATATAATGAATTCATTTGTGTTTTGTATTCATTCATAAAGATTTAAACGTGGTTTTAAAATTTAACGCAAATTTTAAATTGATTTTATTTATAAATATATGAAACTAAAGTACTTTTTCATCGCACCATATATTAAATGTTAAGTTATAAATTATTTAATTGATATATATTTGCAATACTTTGATAACTGGAGCACTTTATCTGTCGTATCATCCCTTAACTGCTCCTATTTTTCAAAGACATTCAAGTTATCAAAAACCTTACGATTAAATCAGTGAACGAGACATTGGATGTGTTTTTCGTCTAATTCCTAGTGATTCCTCAAACATTGGCAACAATTTAATCATTAAATTATTAGTAATAATAAATATTATGAATGGTTTAGTTAACTATAATTATAAAGTGTGTGTTTATATGAATAGATCAAAGACAGCGAACCCGTTATATCTGAATCTTATCGTGTATTCAAATGCTATAAATAAATTATATTTAATTCATACGATAATATTCGAGGTCTTTATTGAAAAAAGGTTGATGAGATTAAACCACAATACAATGTCATGCTTAAGCTTATTATAAATACACTAGTAATCTCTCAAAGTTAATGTTCACTTGTAAATGCTATTGTATCCAATAGTTATATAATGAATCATATTAGATTAATAATTGATTGTATTCTTACAACTTGGTAATTAAGATAAATATAAAGCATCCAATAATTTTTCCATTATAATCAAAATTAATGATATTGAAAATTAAAATTCTGTATTCTACGTATATGTAATAAACAAATGACTTATATTTGTTTATAACCAGAACATATTGTGTAAAAAACAATTACATATGTCTTTTATAGGGCAAAGTTGGTTTTCATTTTCTTAGATGTAGTAAATTAATAATTGAAAATTGTGGAAAAATACCTGTTGATACATACAAATATTATATAACTTCCTATGCTCACTTGAAATGAACTATATATTCGACTATTTATTTTATATTAGACTATATCAAGAATATCTGCAATACAGTACATTAAAAAATTATTTGACATTAAGTTCTATATAAATTCATTTATTAAATTAAACCATTGACAAAATAAAATAAAAATTCACATTAAGTATTAAGAATAAAAATGGAGCTTAACCTTTAATTGCCTAAAATTAGGTTTTCATTGAAATAAAAGCCAAAAACTTCATTTTGATTTCTCTCGTGTAGTGTGAAGTGAATAAGTTATTAAATTCCTATTTTCTCCCACAAAATCTCTTTTAGCTTTTATAATGCTTTTTACTTTCCAAGTCACTAATGGTTTATAGCCTTGACTTCTAGACTAACAAAAAAGTCACAAAATTTTGCCAACTTAATTTGTCACTAATCTGACATTCAATTGATTTTTTATTTTAAGTTTTATCACTAGTACATTTGACTTTAATTTTACTAATCATTAATATATTTTAATAAAAATCAAATTACCCAGATCTCTTAGATAACTGTTTTGAATGATTATTCTAATGGAGAACTCAATGATGAGAACAATAATAGCGACAAATATAGTGCAGTATTATTGAGTGAATGCAATAAAAGTGTCACAAAAGGGATCAATTACTAGTATATAAAATCATTAAACATGTATTTGTATACGAAATGTATATTAAATTAAGNAACTCAATGATGAGAACAATAATAGCGACAAATATAGTGCAGTATTATTGAGTGAATGCAATAAAAGTGTCACAAAAGGGATCAATTACTAGTATATAAAATCATTAAACATGTATTTGTATACGAAATGTATATTAAATTAAGGCCAAGAATTTCTTGTGATTCTCTGAATTGAATGTCGGACTCGAAGGATATATTAGTCCATACAATACATACCAATACAACACAACACTTGTACACTATTCTTGGTTTCGTCTATAATATTCACTATAACTTTAGTCATGCAATGAATAGTTAGTGTTTTTCGTAACAAATTAATGATGATTTTGTTTGTATATTAAATCGATTGCTTCACTATTGACTGAATTGACACTAAAATTGAAAATAATACAAATTATTGAGTGTCGAGGAAATGGTTACATTTTGGTCATTAACTTAATGGTGGGTTAAGTGGTTGTCGTGACTGTGAAAGTGTGTCCAGAATTGCCTTCAGAGAGTTCCGGCCATTCATATGGAATATAATTGCATTAAAATGTATGACTTGTTTAAAACGAGTTGACATAAGAGCACAACCGCTCACTATCTCACCATTAAGTCAATAATTCTCTCACAAAAAGCTTTTTTATTTAGTTTATTGAAAATTATGAGATAATGTCACCAAATTGTCAACACATTTGAGTAAAAGTGTACACATCTGAGGGCTGATTCACACAGTACATACATTGCACTAAATAAGCTACCGTATAAATTGGCAATTTTCAGACACATTCCCATTTACCTATTACTTTGGTGAGACCTATTAATTTAGTTTCATAATAGCCCCTACCATTACGTGTTAATAAAGAGGCTTTTAAACAAATATTATTATATAAAAATTATTATATACTACAATTATCAAGATTAGCTCAATTGTCAATATTAATATTATGCTAATAGAAATACAAATCTTTTTATGTTTGTTTTGTATCTGTTTCTAAAAATAAAACCCAAAAATAATT